CAGACGACGTGGCTGTAGTCATTGTGGGCAAATTCATGGAGCAGATCAATTACACTTTCGACATGACCTTTGAAACGATCCGCTGTTGGATGGACACAGTGGGCCTGAAGCTTGCGGAACACAAGACAGAGGCGGTGTTGATCACCAGCAGAAAGGAAATAGAGACGATAGCGCTCCAGGTCGCGTTCTGCGAAATTACCTCACAGCCGTACATACCATACCTGGAGGTGATGATCGATGCTCGACTCAATTTTAAGCAGCAAACCGAGCACGTGGGTGCCAAGGCGTCTGCAGTCGGATCTACTGTATCACGCCTCATGCCTAATATCGGTGGTCCTAAGCAAAAAAGACGAGCGCTGCTCTCATCGGTCGTCANTTGGATGGACACAGTGGGCCTGAAGCTGGCGGAACACAAGACAGAGGCGGTGTTGATCACCAGCAGAAAGGAAATAGAGACGATATCGCTGCAGGTCGGGTCCTGCGAAATTACCTCCCAGCCGTACATACGATACCTGGGGGTGATGATCGATGCTCGACTCAATTTTAAGCAGCAAACCGAGCACGTGGGTACCAAGGCGTCTGCAGTCGGATCTACTGTATCGTGCCTCATGCCTAATATCGGTGGTTCTAAGCAGAAAAGACGAGCGCTGCTTTCATCGGTCGTCACGTCAGTGCTCACCTATGGCATTTCCATCTGGGCTGATGCGCTGCACATGGCAGAATCACGGCGAAAGGTAGCATCAGTGTATCGACTGAGTGCTCTGCGAGTAGCGAGTGCATACCGCACGGTGTCCGAGGATGCAGTATGCGTCATTTCCGGTATGTTACCTATTGAGGTATTGGCCGAAGAGCGAAAGTCTCTGTATCGACGCAAGAAGTCGGAAACACAAAGCGCAGCAGAGCTCAGTGCAGACGAGAGGCGTAGAAGCTTACAACGATGGCAGCGAAAGTGGGATGCCTCTACCAAGGGCAGATGGACTCATCGCCTGATCCCACAGTTGGCCGTCTGGGTAAGTCGAAAAAATGGAGAGGTCAATTATTACCTTACACAAATGCTTTCAGGACACGGGTGTTTCCGGGCGTATCTTCACAAATACAAACATGAAGATTCCCCGGACTGCCCAATTTGCACAGGAGTCGCCGAAGATGCAGAACATGTATTCTTTACATGCCCCCGCTTCAATGAGATCCGAAGTACGTGGGAGTCCGACCTGGGAAGAGAGGTCAAACCTGAGAGCCTGGTGGACGCAATGCTGTCATCAAAGGCAGCCTGGGACACGACGTGTAACTTGCGGCCGAGGTCATGAAGAAGCTCAGAAATGAGGAACGAAAGCGCAATGCTGCAGTGTAGGTGAGAAATGTTATTGGAACCTCCAAATCACGCAGAACATCTTAGCGGGATGGGGGACGTACATCAGATGAAAAAACGTGGAAGAGCTAACAGCTGAGACCTCCCTCGCGAAGTAATACTTTACGGTGGTACCGCGAGGGGATGAAAGGTTAGTGGAAATATGTCTGACTGGAGTTTAGTCGGTATTGACAGTTTTTGTCCGAGTCCGACACTCATTTGACGGAGGGATCCTGCTGTCCCCTACCTCAAGTGGTCGTGCGTAAATGCATTCTCCCAACAGACAAAAAAAAAAAACACACACACCCACAGACATTTTGTTTAAAACTATCGAGGAACATTAGAAACACCTTGAAACGTGAAAATATCATGGAAAATCGATTTTTCATTTTCGGGGGCATTACAATAACTTCCCTGCCCGGGAAGTTAATTAACAGACCTGTAGGGATGATTAATGCAAGGATTTCCATGAAAAAATGCAAAAATTTGACGTTTTTATTTCTTTTGATTGTGTTGCAGGTGGAATGTTCGAACTTTTTTTCTCTCTCAAAATGTGGGGAATTGAGGCTAGAATCGTCATTTTTTTTTCAAAGTGGTTGAAAAATCTTTACCTATGAGAATGATTTTTTAAAAGAAAGAAGTGTCGATTAAATATATTATTTAACAATTAAAAATCAATTAAAAATTTGTTTCTTCAATTTTGATGTTTTTGATTTTCCAGAATTTTTTCAGATTTTTAAGTAGCTTTGAAGTGCTCAAAAAAAAATTTTAAAAAACAGTTTTTTAAACATAAAAAATCAAGGGATCGATATAATGATCTGAAATTTTACACAGAATTGTTTTTTGGGTGGTAAATATGTGAAAGAATTGCCGCCTTGAAATTCGCTAGGGGGCAGATTCACCATACTTATCCGGCTAGACCCTTTCTATACGGATTGTGTATAGAAATTCTATAGGATTTTCGTATATGATATTCGGATATTTCTATAAGAATATTTTCTATACGAATTATTTCTATACATAAATTGTTACATAAATTTTTGTATTCATACGAAAGATGTCTACACATTCCAGAGAAAAACGTAGAGAAATGTCGCAACACCATACGAAATGTTTCTATACATGTGGCGGCGGGTCATATAGGATTAAACCTATAGAAATCGTATAGAAATAATTTGTATAAAACATATCCGTTTAGAAATATCCGAATATCATATATGAAAATCCTATAGAAACTCTATACGCAATCCGTATAGAAATTTTCTATACGATTTTTTCATACGTGAGATACTGTCAGAGTTTCGTTTATTCTTTGTTAAGACCCCTGAGTTAGGTGTTGTTCGTTCGAGAGGAAGTTTAGTACTGATTACAAAGAGAGATTCTTCTAAGAACCTTGGAAAAATGGCGGATTTCAGAAAAATTGAGGAGTGGGGGTTTTTGGAGGTGCCAAATGTTAAGGGGGACATTAAGGTCCATCTAAGGGAAATGCGGACTTGTTTGATTAAGATCGGGACTAGATTTGGGACCTTGGAAGGTTTTAAGTTTGTAGATAAACAAGCGGGAATATTTCGTTCTTCAAATACAAAATAATGTGGGTATGCAACAATTTCCATAATTTTTTAACTTGACCAAGAAGGCTTTAAAACAAAATTTAATTGACTACTGCTGATGATTTAATTGCTCTGATTTAATTGATATTACTGATGATTCTTTTAGTAATCATTAAAAAATTAACTTTTTATTCTTGTAAATCGCAGACACAATATTGCTGTAACTCAACAACGAATGGTGCGATTCTGATCATATTTTGATAGAATTAACCCTCAATCAGTCGCGTCATGGCACGACCGCTGTTCTGTCTCGATTTTCATTTTTTACGCTGAAAGGTTGTTGAAAAAAAAATCTGAATAAATTGGAATTCGTATTTTCCACCATGTCAAACATTTAAACAATTTTTGTTCGTTGTATCTTTACACTGATCAAAAATTAAATTCCGTAAAAATTCGACTCGGTCAAAATCTCTGTGTTTAACCTCTAAATATCAAATTTTCGGACCGAATGGAAATCAATTTATGAATAATGTTTTCACTTTTCTCATTTTATACTGATATTAGTTGTTAGTTGGAAGTTCAAAGTTACTCGTTTAATCATAAATACATAATTTTTTTGAACTTTTTTTTCTCAAAACGGTAAAATACACGGAATGGCGCAGCGCTCATCACACGACCAGATACGTTTAGTGGAGAGGTCCGACCACTCGAGGGTTAAGAGGGGATTGATTTTGCGTTGATAACAATTTCTTCAGTCATCGTTGAAACATCGATTTAAAAAATGATTCTTGAAAAATAGCAATTTTTTCGAAACTTTACGAAAAATTGAATTTTAGATAACAACGTCAATAGATAGAGCTTATTGTGGAGAGATTTTTCACGCTTAAAAATAGTGGGGCCGAATGATCATAACTCGGGACTGAGATGGCTTTGTTCGGAGAGATGCTGGCGTATATACTTTAGCATAAACATCCTCTCAGCAATCGACCCGTTGGCGACGCAGATCTCGATGTAGTCTAAACAAATGACGAACCTGGGTTTGAGGTCCCCAGAAGGCACGGGACCGTAGACAGTCTGCCCTGGGCCATGGGCAAGAGCACTCTTCCGACTGAGATATAATTATTCAAATACTAGATTGTTTGCATTTTTAATGACGACTGTAAAGAAGGCGATCCTACAATATATGAACAAATATCCACTCTTTGAAAAGTTATTTGGGGAGTGAATTTATCGAGTTTATACCCTTTCATTGAAATACTTCCTACATTATTAAAGTTTAAATTCACAAAAAAAACATGTAATTCAATAGATCTCCTATAATGAAATAAGAAATAAAAAAAAGACCACATAGATACATACAGAAACCATCTAAAAACGCATATTCTCATTTTTTAGACCACATTTAATTACCCTAACAAAAAGCGTTCATTCGGGAGCAAAAAAGAAGTAGGTCATCTGTCACCGATTCTTCGCACAAATTTTCTTAAATTAAATAAGCCACAATTTCATTTATATATATCCAGAATTCTTACTCGCTCTAAATTTAAGTACAACAGTGTCCTTAAATTCCGCTATTTCCCCGAAAAACTAGAAACTGGTTTTCTCTATACATTGGTTCATGACAGTTGATATCACGATACATCAATCATCAAACGTTTAATCAATAATTACCTACGATAACGTTGACAAGGATATTGATTCAGGTTATTTTTCAGCTCAAAGTGTGTCCGAATATTTTCTCAAACCACTGATCACACAATCATGAATAATATCAAAAAATAAACAGTAAACATTAATTAACCATATTAAATCACAATTTTCAAAATAAGGAAAAGAACAATCATGATCGATCCTTTGATGGATGATAGATCAAATTAACAAACAAATGTCAAAATTAGCAGACAACTGCCATCTACTCTTCCACTTGGAACTCTGAATGAATCCACGAATTCTCCCTCGACAAAGTAGATCACTGCCAGTTTTTACGAACACCGGACGGAGACACTTTATAAGTGGATTTATCAACACTACACCGACGAAAGACCAGCCGATTGAAAGTTAAAGACGACGAAAAAGAATAATTTTATGTAACTTTGTTGTTGTTTCTGGTATCAGTCAACCATCAATATTTCTTCGAGAACAATGTTTCATGACAAATAATAACCGAGAACGAGGTAAGTCAATATAGTCATATCTGGAGACAACTGTCGTATTTACTTGAGTTGTTTTGATGTTACTAGGTTATAGGCAATTTAGCTTGCAACTGAATACATTTTAGGGATGATCCAAATTTTCATCATCATCGGTCCAATCATTTGCTAATTCTCGCAATTACGTACTGATGATATGATACTGTAATCCACTTGTCACATCAAAATGGAGTGCGAGGAAGGAGTGATGAAGGAGGGGGAGAATGGTGATAACAAACTGTCAGATTGTGATGGAATAACAGAAACGATTTCGAAAAAGGAGAATAATATGGAGGAGAGTGAAAAGCAGTGTAAGGGACATGATAATGGGGTGGAGCCAATGGAATATGCTAAAACACCTTTGGAGGCTGGTGAAATGAATGAAGATAAAAAACCCAAGGAATCTTCGAAATTAAAGTCTCCAGGGCAATGGGAAGAGTCTCTGGAGGATAGTCCCAACGAAGTAGAGATTGTGGCGTCCAACAGCAGCCCAAGTGATTGTAAAAGTTCTCCGGATGGTGAGAATAACCATGAGAGCTCTGACAACGATTCTGATAAAGTTGAGAAACCCCAGGGGAGCTCGGATACCTCAGGAATCGTTGACAGCAGTCAGCCCAGCTGCTCCACTTCGAAGTTCTATAAATTGAAGTCGAAGGTTAAAAAACGTCACTACAGGAAGAAATCTAGTGGTGCTGAAGATGTTAAGTCGAAGGAGAAGAAACCAAGGGAGAATAATGAAGAGTCCAATCCGAGCTCTCCTACAGAGCATGAGAGGACGAGGAGGAGCTCGGAGGAGCAGAGGGACGAGAGAATTCAATCTTCGAGTGATGAGGAGAGTTCTAATTCTAATAGTGATAATGAGGGAGGGGATTCCAGTGAGTGGACCACTGCGAGTGAAGATGAACTGAATGGAGGGGTTCCCAGGGTGTTGCAGAAAGATCCACCAAAACCGAGGATGTTTATCGTTCCGGAGGTCATAAATCGACAGATTGGCAATACTAAGCTGTTTGAGAGGAAATTTTATGGATCTCTGCATGTCGTACAGCGGCTGGAATTGATGCAGAAAATGGAGGAACATGAAGTAAGGAATTTTGCAAACTTTAAAGTACATTAAGAAAAACCAAATTTTTTGAGAAGTACGCCTTTACTTATATCAAGAAACTTGTAGCTTGAAAATTTTCAACAGCAAAATATCTTGCACTAAGAAAAAATAACTTTCGTCAAGAAATTTTGTACTTATCCTAAAGACGAGGCCAATTTCTTGATGACAAGATAGTTATATTCATCACAAGGTCCACAAAGTATTTTCTGACGAATGTGGCTTTGTAGGCCGAGCCGAAGGTGAGGCCTATAATCACATTCGTCAGAAAATACTTTTGGACCGTGTGATGAATGCAATTTTTCGTCAGAAGGCCCGTAAACCGCGATCTAACCGAGCAAAGCGAGGTTAGAATCGCGGTTTACCGGGCCTTCTCACGAAAAAGCCATTTCTCAAACCAAGTACAATTGAATTAATTCATTTAATAGTTTATTAGCTTCAATTCTAAATCATTTTAATGCAAAAGCCACTTGAATTTATTTTAGAACTCGTTTTCTTAATATGAACCAATTGCCCCCATCTTTCGGACAAATGTAAAATTTCTTGGCGTAAGATTTTTTTTTCTTAGTGTGAGAGATTATGTGCTTCGTAATTTTCAAGTCATGAATTTCTTGATACAAGTAAAGACGTACTTCTCAAAAAACTTGTCTTTTCAGTGTAGTATATACATAGCTTACATTTTGAAGATGAAAATCTGAAATAAATTCTAAACCAAATTTGATATAAATAAAAACATTCTCAATTAACTTAGAAGTTACAAAATAACGCAGAATCTTATGAGAAAATAAATATTTCGACGTTAGAGAGAAAATTAAAAGGTAGGAAATATCTTAAAAAATCAAAAAAATAAATACATATTTTATGCCTAATACCAATTTATCGTCAGTGCCAAACTTTTGTGATAAATAATTTATGTTTCTGGGTTCCTAGAATATACAGGATGCCCTAGTCAAACGAGCAACTATTGTTTAAGAAAATAATTGTCGAGAGAATTTGTTGGATTAAGTTTTTACTCTAGTCAAAGCTAGCGTTTATGTAAGAAATGATCAATGATGAATAATTTTTTTCGGGCATTTTACAGTTATTTTTCCTCACTACACTCAACGACTTACGTGGAGCTTGGACATACTACTTTAATCTTGAATGGTTACATGTAATTTTTGTTCCGTGCTATACTCACGGTCTCCCAACATTGTAATCTGCATCGGGGCTAGAAGTATTGGAAATTATGACAACGTATCGTCAACGTTGTAGTTATCATCGGGGCTCTGATAATTTGGGTAGTAACTTAGACTTGATGATGCATATTTTAACGTTTACGAAACGTCGCCGTTGCCCAAAATATGAATCACGTGTATCTATTTTTGTGAATATTTCAGGAATTAGTAAGCTTGAAAAAATTCACAAGGAGAATTTTTCTATACCCACCCATTTCTTTTCTTTTTATAATAAAAGTGAGCTGATGAATCCACCCTTATTCACTCCCTCGTGAAATAATTTTTAAAGTAATTCACATGGCATTTACTACGAAATTTAAGGATAGTCAATTGCCTTTTTCTAGTTGGGAATGGACCACATTGTGGATTCCGATATTTTCAATCATCACCTTTGTTAATTAAATTCTGTCAGAAAAATTTGGAATTATTCATAGATGTTCAGCGTCATTCATACAACAGCTATTATTTTTTCTAAAGATATTAGTTTTCTAAATATTCCCTTCTTATAAATGAATAGTTGAAATTGTTCGAACTTTTGGTACAATTGGTTGTTTATGAACGATTTATGAAGAAAGTTGGTAATTTTTGAAAATTAGATTTTCTAAAATAGTTAAGCCCCAGGTGAATTATCTTTCGAACGTGATCGTGGTTGTTTTTTTCATTTTGATAATCTGAAATGATCTCCAATTGCTATTCAGTTTTATATAGCCCTGGAGTCTCCACAAATTATGATTGTTACAATCAAAAAATCGTTGAAAAAAAGCTGAACATTTTCAAAGAGCATTTTGGAATAATATTGGGAAATACACCCAATAGGGAGGAAATTGCAAATTAATAATTTGATGTATCTAATGGCTGTTAGATCGTCTTTTGTCACAGTAGTCAATGGCTGTCAGATCGTTAGTTACCATGATAGATTATCCATTCACTATTTCCTCTCTATCGGACTTATTTCTTAATCTTTATTAAAAACGCTTTTTGAAAATGTTCATTTTTTTCTACTTTTTTTGATTGTGCAATCATAATTTGTAAGTAAGCCTGTGTGATGTAAAATCCAATGGAAATAGTGATATATTTTATATTATGAAAATGGAACACCAATTGAGATAACGTTCGAAAGATAATCCACCCGGGACTTAAGAGTAGAACTTCCCCAATAGTAGACTATCTGATTTTTTTTTTAAATTGAAAAAATGTTCCTAAGGGTTCAAAATGAAGAATTAAATTTAGACCTGAAAGGTTAAAATAATAAAATGATTTTAAAATGTCCGGAAAACGAGGGTCAAATGGGGTTTAAATGGAAATTTTTATGTTGAACTACAAATGCAGAAAAGGATTTCAGCGAAAAACAAATGGTAAAAGTACCTGGGTGTTCTCAATGTTCTAAGAATTTCGTTAGTTCCAAGAGCTTATCCAATTAGCTTCCATAGCAGTTTCCCACATGTATTAAATATTGAGCGTCATTAAATGGACACATTCCTGAAGTAAATCGATGTCAGCATATAGTGGATATTATATAAAGAAAAACAATATCTCCATGAATTATTCACAGAATTTAATCAGAAAACGAGTCATAGACAAAAAGAAAGTTTCTAGTTTTCAGATTCAAGAAACTGATTACTTAATTTCAGATGAAAAATCCCTAGACTTCAGTACCAAACACTTATTTATTCCCCGTGCGAAAAGTTCTTAAAACGAGA